CACTACAGTGCATGTTTAAAAATACAGAGCATTTTTAAAGTATATATAGATATATATATAAGATTAGATTGTGCTTTAAAAAAAATCATTACTTCTGAAGTTGACTAACATGAAAACTGAGCGCTGGGAAAAATACTGATTAAAAATATCCAATTTCATATATACCGCTTTTCACATAACATTTTGCTATACATGGGATGCAAGTAAATACAAAAATACTTTTTTTCAAGCAGCAGGGTGATCAAAATGAAGAGTATTAATATAGGGCGGCTGATTTTACAAAACTAAGATAAATGATTAGGGTGAAACAGGGCGAAACTATAATCCACATAAACTTTTATATAGTATTTGAAAAGAAATCTTTATCATAGACAACTCTTAATATAGAAAGGGTTCAATATTTTTAACTTCAACATTAAATATGGATTACACCACATACATAACTGACTCATGCACATAGTCCTACTGAAGTCGACGGAGCCGCTTACGCGAGCGAGGTTTGCAGGCTTCGGTCCTCAGGCTTAGCAAAACACGTACAGGTCTGACGCGCTTTGCTAATCGATTCCTAATTTGCAGGTTGGTGTTTTAGCCCAGTCCTCTCTGCACCACAGTAAGGAAAACTGAGTTTACAGGGCAGATTCTGTAATACTATGGAAAACAAGCTGTAAAAAGGAACATACAGCAATTTACATTTTCAGCTTTACAAAGCAGACTGACTGTTGCCATAGTACTTATCTGTTCATGGGAAAGATTTTAAGTTATGAAAAGCAATTACTTCGCAACTCTAAACGTGTATTTCTTGAAAAATGGGATGCAGGGGGATTTACAGATGACGTAAAAAATTAAAATAGATTCCAACAGAGCCAACTGCATATGTACTTCAACTGCGTTGAACTGAAGTGATCACAGTTTGGAGTAAAGGCCATTAACGTGGATTTTAAAATAATCACTCATGTAAATGTCACATACAGACCAAAAGAGGTTAGGCAAGTAACACACGTTTTAAGAAGAGTATTAAACTTCAGCGTAAAGAGAAAAATTCATTCACCCCACAGTTACATTCAGTCAAGCATCACATCCAACAAAAGCTCTACCCAACGAAACAAGAAGCCGAAGACCAAGCGCGGAGCTGTGCTCAGTCCTGCTGGAGCCAGGGCTCGCAGTCAAAGCAACAGCACGTGCATCACCTACTTGTATTTGCTCCCCTTCCTTTACAGCCAGTCCCTATCGCAGATCAATTTTTGTTGAGGTTTTATCTCTACTTGCTCGTTTAGACATTATGGAATATGTAGTTCTTCAGCCGTGGTCCATTTTACCTCTCATGGCATTGATACTGTGCTCATCACTATGGTTTAGATGCTTCCCCTCCCCTCATTTCTCTCCTTGAATGCTAGAGGTTACCAACGTAAACCCCTCATCGGACTTTCTTCCCTGAGGTTACCTTTGTTTCAATGCATTTCAGCAAACCTTACAAAGCCAGTGGTAGTCTACCAAGCTAGTTAATTCTAAGGTTACACATACATAGAATCCTTCAAAATAAAATTGCTTCAAAGCTCCTACATCGCTTTGAAATGTGACCATTTAATACACCCTTCTCATAAGGTGACTCACTTTCCCCAAACCCAATAGAGGACACAGACTTCAAGCAAAAAGCTCCTATAAAACTATTAATTTTAGAAAAAAATCCAGATCTTCCTGAAGATAATTTATTGCCGCTTATTGGTCCTGAGAAAGCTTTAAGCAACAATACATATGCAAGTGTTTTAACTGCTGCCTGTTTTGAGAAAGTACGTGGGTCCTGAGATGAAAATCATGCTTTATTCTATGCACTTATGCTTGGAAAAAGCTTCACTGTGAGGATCAAATATGAATTACAATTTGCCACGCTACATCTCTTCCCTTCGTGTCCATTTATTAAAACAGATTTCCTTTCAGACATCAAATTAAAGTTCTCGAGATGAAATGCAATGAAATAATGCCACACTTGCACTTCTCAATTCCTCACATTGGACTGGCATTTAAGGACTTCAAATTTATGAAATCTTCCTTCTCCCTAATTCCCTACCTCCTATTAAAAGCTATGGTGTGAATTTTTTGGCTCGGATACCAGAAAATTCCACATCTGATACTCTATGAAAGGCAACTTCAAGGCAATGGAATAGGCCAACAATAAAACAAAACACATTCACAACTTTGAAAAAAAAAATTAAAAAAAATTAATGTGGACCCACAGCAGCCACTTCTCAATGGAAGTGTTTGGTAGCTTGAGATTTTTTTTTTCTTTTTAAATTTTTAAGTGTCAAATTTGCATATGTTTAGCTGAATTTCAATATTTGAAAGACTACTCAATTTGCTTTTATAAAAACTTTACAAAAGATGTTTTTAAATGCTTGTAAAAGTAAGCGTTTATCTACTGAGAAAATTCTAGTACTGGATAAAACTCTCTGAATATACAGCTGAATTTTTTAAATGTTTTTCTTTTTTCCTACAAGTATAATGGCTGAGTGTATAATCTAGATAAATTAGTCTTACACATGATGAAAAGTTATAACTTTGAATACTTTTTACCATGTGATGTTTTGTTGCTTTGTAACTTTGAATGAGACAGTGCTTAGGAATTTTCTAGAGCTGGTGTACAGTGGTCTACAGGGGTTGGTTCACTGGTCACTGCCTCTGTCCAGGTTTTCAATCACCCTAGAAAGACGTATGTTCAGAAGTCTGATCTGATTATCCAGGTGGTCCATCTTCTCCTCAAGGCTGCTGTTGTTGTTTCTCCTCCAGTAAAATCCAACCGGCCCCGTCATGAAGTAGACTGCTACAACAAAGCAGAGAGGCAGGACTGCGTGTTCTGGGTCACCTTCGTACTTCTGGAGGATGTACACGCACGAGAGTGTGAAAAGGGCAACCCTCGCAATCCAGAAAAAGCGACCAAACAGCATGTGCAGGAGATAGAAGAAGAATCCAAGGAAGAGAGATAAAAACCAATAGGCAAGTAAAATGGCACCGATCAGTAGAAGAGCACGGGTCGGGTTGTTGGCAATTGCCGCTGGGCTGAAATAATGAGTCAAGTTGGAGGCTGAAAAACAAAGGAAAATTTACAGAATATTAATGAGCGCATGCCAAGGTGGTAAGGGTAAAACTGCAAGCACAGCTCTGAAGGGTCATGCAGTGGGGTCACGGCTGTGTTTTCTGAACAGAGCTAGCGCTAGTTCATCCATTTCAGGATGGGCCTTTTTCAAATCACTGGCTCAGCTCCAACGATGCAACTGAATCAATTCCTTTAAAGCAGAGGTGCTAAAGGTTCTTTAAAGACAAACTACTGTAGGGCCTAAGGTCAACATTCATACTGAGGCTAAAGGTCCCGCTTTGTAAAAGTTATATCCTAAAGGCTCTTAATTGCACCTTTCCTTCTTCCAGCCCTCCTTTATTTCCCTGCACTTGTTCCTGACTGTGTGCGTCCATTTAATGATGATACCAACAAACCAACCATGCCTTGTAATGCATTTTATAGACATCCTGTAGATACACGTACAGAAACGGAACGGCTGGTTTTAGTCCTCTTGTTTGAAGGTACTAACAGCAAAATCAAAGCCACACAAAGCGGATAGACATACCACTGATGGATGTTTAACGCAACGTGATAAAATGTAATTATTTTCCCACTTGGCCTATGCTTGTGAACATTGATACAGGCTGATACAGTTCAAGAGTTAACAGGCATCACACTTACCATCAATTCCAAGAACATCTAACAAATCAGTCCATATTCTCCAGAATGTGTCCATTAATATATCCACCCCATTCACAAACCTCTCTGTCAACCTTGAGAAAAACTGAGAAATAAAATTGAAAATTACAAAAAAAAAAAAATAATCCTCAACTCCTTAAACACACTTTGAGACTTATTAGTCATGGGTAGAATTATAATTCATTAAATAAAATTGCAGGCTATTTTGAATTCCCCAAGGAAAAAAACCTAACTCTGTAAATGGTTTTTTAACTCTGTGAGTCATTATTTTTTTATTACAATTGCCTTTATTCTAGGTATTTTGGCACATATAAATTTATACATTGATAGGATTTGAAAATGCACTTCTTAGCTTTACCATTGTTCCAAAGTTTAAAGAAAACACTATTACTAGCAATGAACATTGGTAAAGCAAACCAGAGAATTTTTTTATCAAGCAACTGAGATATTTCCCCAGCATCACACTCAAATGCCTCAAACGCATTTACAGGTCAATTTAACAGTATTATTTCTTCCTCCCGGCTGAGGAGAGCAAGAACAGAGGAATGTAGAGGTCCGTCTGCCTGCATCCCTGATTTCCTTCAAGTTCCTATGTGGCCCCGCAAACACAGGATGCTGTGTTGATGCAGACACACCATATTTCAGTTGGAGGGCTCCTCACCGACAGCGGTCTGCCCTGGCTGCCTCCCGCATCTAAAATAATCTTTATTTAGAGATTCTTTTCGTTAATATTTTCTGCGGTTTGCTCCACGTCAAGCCTCGCCTG